CTCCAAGAGTCTTTGTAACCACTCTACAGCACTGCGTAAGGTGGAAGCTCACACCATTTACCCTGGGAACCCGGAGATGATGTTAGGGGACAGCTGCTTCAGTCCCACTACAGCTACCTGCTTATCTGAACTGCAGAGAAGCTAACGAGTAGATTCAAGCCCCAGCCCGCCTGGTAAGGCCTGCTGGGAAACGCCATGAATTTCTTTCTATAAAGTTCAGTTCTGAAAATTTCTCCTTTAAGGACACTGCCCTTCCCAAGAATTTCATTCATTTCAAAAAGTGTATTGAGCAAGATAGTCACATGATAAGCATGGTGCAGGGTGCAGTAGGTGCAGGATTGGAGGGAGACAAGCCCTGAGTATGAACCATGTTCTGTGGGAAAAGAGGAGATGGAAGGGTTAATTCTGAAGAGAAGAGTATTCAGGGAAGACTTCATGGAAGAGGCAGACTTCTAGCTTAGCCTGAAAGGCAGAGGAGAATTTTCATAGGTTGAGATAAAGATAGTCAGGTGGGCATTCTAGGAAGAGAAAAAAGCTTGAGAAAAGGCACAGGTTGAAGCCCCAAAGCAGACACATGTTTGGGGAAAAGTGAGTTATGTGTGGCTACCGCACAGGTTTGTGGCAGGACTTAGCAGGAGATGAGGTTAGGGTGGACTAACCAGTTTTGAGGGCAGGTTACAAAGGACTGGGGTTTGAGCTTTATTTGGTAGATAATGAGAGGCCGTGGAGAGGGGTAATGTGTCTCTAACCTCCAAGTGGATAGGCAGCTCCACTCAGTGCCCTCGCCATGGTTCTGCTACTCCCCTAGCCTGGGTGGGTGGGAAAAAAGGTCCTCACTTTCTAGGTCATTCCCCACGTGGACACTCCCAGGACTCTGCTGGCCTCAGCCCCCTGTCATGTGACCCTCACTCTTCCCTCCTCACCTTTGTTAACCATGGTGTTCTGACTGGGTGAGGATCCTGGGTTCTAACAAGGCGAGAGTAACCTTGGGGCAGAGACCTGTGGGGCTGTCCAAGGTGCTGGAACAATGCCACTCCCAACTTGAAGCACTTCCATTAGAATGACTGGCTCCCACATCATTGTTTTTTTAGGGTAGAGAATTTCATTCCTACCTTACAAATGAGAAATAGAAGCCTCAAAGGTTGGCACAACCAGACTAGGAACTTCGTTTCTTGCCTCCCAGCCCAGGGCTGTTTTCTGCCACCCGGCAGTACCAATGTAATTCAGCAATGCATGCCCCAAGTGATTCCATTGTTGCTGCCATGCTAGCATGGAAAATGCCCAGAGTCTCTTCCCACCTCCACCTCTATGTCCACTTCCTCAAACACTGATAGGCGTGTCCACCCCACAGTGCCTCCTGAGACTGGCCATTCAGAGTGCTTGGGCAGACCTGTCTGGATTAGCAGCTGTACATGTTCATGGCTCTGCTCTGATGGAAACCCCTGGGTGCGGCTCATCCAGACACTTTCCTGAAAGGGGGTGCTGAGCTTGGGGGAAGCAATGCTCCACTGCTACTCTCACAGTTCACCAATAATTACTACCATTTTTACTGGGTGTCCATTGTGTTCTAGGCTCTGAACTGTAAACTTTCCACAATGAATTGTCTCACTCTCATGGCCAAGTGTCCTCTCAACAGATGAGGAAATTCAGGCTTAGGCAGGATAAGTGGCTTGCCAGTAGGCAGGGTGGAGATTGAAGGGCCAGAATTTGAACTCAGATTTGTGTGGTTCCACAGTGACCCGTCGATCAAAGCCTGTCATCGCACATATGAGAGTTCAGTGGCTGCCACCACTACTGGCTTTGTGATGCTGGGCCAGTCACTTATCCTGTTTGAATTTCATCTTCATTTGCAAACTGAGGAATGTAAAAGTGTATCTCCATAGGGCCCTTGTGAGGAATAGAAATGAAGCATGCAGCAAAGACTCAATAACTGTTTGCTGCTAATATGAATATGATTGTTATTGGGTACAAGTTCTTGATGGCTGGATGGGTGTATGATTAGACTTTCCATATCGCCCGCTGGGAAGGTGAGTAGGAAGGAGGAAGAATGTGGGGGCCAGCACATCCTGAGTACCAGGAAGGACTTGCTTCTGCCCTATATGCTCATGGTCTCAGGGGATGGGGACCACGTGGCTGGAGCAGGTATGTCACTGGGGTCCCAGGGGTGGTTCTGCACTACTTTATCAGCATTCCTTACATTTATGTTGAGCCTGAGACCATTCCTAGCCCTCAGAGACTCTGCTTTCTTAAAGCTATCCCAACATCCTCCTTAGGGAACCCTTGACAGGGAGAGGATAGCAGAGGATGTGGCCATGTTAGCCACTCACGTCCAATAGCAAGCAGGACTGATGGGACTCCCCTCTTACAGACAAGGAAACTGAGGTCCAGCAAAGTGAACTGACATGTCCAAGTGACATAAGCCTCGGATCAAAGTCTCCAAACACTGAAGGCTCTTTTAATTAGCCTCTAATTGCCCATCCTAACAATCTTTCAAGGGAAAAGGCAGGTACATAAATTCAAAAACCAACCAATAAATAAGGGAATTGCTAATTATTATTGATCATGGGACATTTGGGGGACAGTCTCAGCCAAGTCTGTTCGGCTCATTGCCCCAATCCCCCACCCCCATCAGAGATGACTAATTGCAGGAAGTCCCGTTCATTCAGAAGCTGGGGTGAGGGCAGCAATAATTATTTCCCCCTTGGAGTCATGTGCATGCAAGAATGAGTCATGCTGACTGAGAAAACTGACTGTTCTGTAATCACCTCCAGCCGCCCCTGCTCAACATGCAACAGGGCCCAGGTATAATGAGGCTGGGCGGGAGGAGATGGATGGAATTCGTGTGGTCTCACCAGGGCAGCTTGGCTCACTATCTTAGCCCCAAGCCCCAGGCAGGAGGGACTCCACAGCTAGGTGATTCCTGTAAGTGCCAAGTCCCCCAAAAGTTCAAGGGCAGGAAGCCATTTGCATCCCAGAAAGGAGGAAGAGAGGCGTGGTCTGGTCCCTTGACTGCTGGAGCTCTGGCCTGGGAGCTGTGGGCACACAGACACCAGCCTCCCTAGGCCCTTCCAGGGTCCTGATTTCCCCCTTCTGAGGAACAGTGACTAGGCCGGCAGCTGAAGGTAAAAAATGGGGAACAGGGAGGTGAGACTCCCAGCAGACCCACACACAATGTATATAATCAGGCCGTAATAATCTCAGTGAAACCCCTTTGTAAACACACACACACACACACACACACACACACACACGCACACTCGTATACACATATCTCCTTGCTCCTAGTTTCCTTCATTTTCCCCAGAAGGGTGTGTTTCCTGCCTTGGTCCATAGAGTCTGCGCAGTAGACCATCTTATAAATCAGTTGGGCCATCTCTCCCTACAAACTTATCATTTACAGATGAACACTGGGGCTGTGAGAGGGGAAGTCATGTGCCCAAAGCCTTAAACCTACCCCAGTAGCCAAGCTGGGACTGGAGTCAGGATGCCCACTGGCCACCTGGTGTGGTCAGTTGACTTTAGCTTCCGTCACCTGATCACTTGGCTCCGTGAGATTCTAATCCCAAACAACGCTTCTCTCCTACCCAAAGCCCAAACCTAGGGCACGCCATTTTTCTATGGACGTTATAGACAAAGCTCATATCAATAAAGGTAAATTAGAGAGGAAACCTGCAGGAGGAACAGGTTTTTTTCTTTTGAAGAGTGTTTGAGTCCTGAGACCCACTGGGCACACCCCATCTCCATCTTTGAACAGGGTTCCACTTCCACTGTCAAGTTCCCTAGAATCAAACCTCATAAAGACCAGCATAATTCATGAGGAAATACAAATAGTAAACAAACATGTGGGGAAAAGGTTCACTCTCCCTAGTAATCAGAGAAATGTAAATTAGAGCAACATTGACGAGCCATTTTCTACCTATATAATTAGCCCAACTTAAAAAAAAAGAATGTTAGGAAAGTTGTTTTGAAATAGGTATGTTCATACACAGCTGGTGGCAGTATAGATTTCTACAACCCTTGAGGAAAGTAATATAGCAACATCCATCAAGAGCCATAAATAATTATGCCCACTGACCCTGGAAATTCACCCTAAGGAAATCATTCAACAGGAGGGGAAAAGCAGTTTGTAGGAAGATGCTCAGTGCACCATTTGCTGGGAACGCTGGAAACAACTTAGTATTCAGCAGGAAGGGAATGGCTGAGTAAACTGGGGGTATATCAGCTCCCGCAGTATGATGCCGCCATATAAAATGATAATTAAGAAGCCCGAAGCAGCAAGTATGGGTGAAAGAAAGCAGAATGCAAAACTGCCCATGTGCACTGTGGGTATTATGATATAAAAATACAGATGCTCCTCAGCTTATGATGGGGCTATGTCCTGATAAACCCACCGTGAGTTGAGAATAAGTCAAAAACGCATTTAATACACCTAACCTGCTGAATATCATAGCTCAGCCTGGCCAACCTTAAACATGCTCAGAACACTTACAGTAGCCTGCAGTTGGGCAAAATCATGTCGCTGCTGGTGCCCAGCATCACAAGAGAGTATGGTACGGCATAGCACTGGCCCAGGAAGAAATCAAAATTCAAAATTGAAGTACTAAATGTTATCGCTTTCACACCATCATAAAGTTGAAAATTTGTAAGTCAAACCGTTGTTAAATTGGGGACCGTCTGTATCGTGTGCGAAACGATATGGACATGGAGGCAGTGGGCACGAAGACAGCTGGTGTTTCAGGGTGACGGGGACAATGGAAAAATCTCCTCTATTACTTTTACAATTACAAGCCCCAGCAGAACTGGCCCTTTGAGAACAGCCTTGGGGGCTCACTGGTCATGGAGCTCCTGTCCCTGAGGGGGACACGGAAACATTCCCAGTTTTCATCCCTGGGCATAGGGCCACACTCCCCAATTCCACCTAGAGGTAGGAGGAGTGGACCCCTCATCACCTGTGTGAAGGTGGGGGGCACTGGAGCCATGGGAACCCCCTCCCGTCTTACCATGAAGCCTGGGGCACAGGTGCAGCTCCCAGTGATGCTGTGGCAGTCGGCGCCGTTCTGGCAGGTGCAGGGCAGCTGGCAGCCATCACCATAGTAGCCAGCAGGACAGGACTCATTGCAGTGGTGGCCAGACCAGCCTGGCTGGCAGGTGCAGGCTCCAGTTACTGGGTGGCAGCTGAGCAGCGGAGAGAAGGATGAGAAGCCGGTCTGGTCAGGGATGTGGGCATGTCCCGTCCTCTGCCCACACCAAGTCTGGTCTGCCCAGCGTAGCAGGACCAAAGGGGCTCTGAGGCGAAGTTGCTTAATGCCTCATTTGTTTGTCAGAAGAACCTAAGGTCCTGTGGTCTTATTAGACCCCCAAAACTGAGACTCATGGTGGTTATATAATTTGCCTAAAGTCACATAGCAAGGAAGTGGCAAAATCAGGATTAGAACACAGGTCTCCGGACTCCCAAACAAGTGCTCTTTATAATACAAATACACAGAGACCAAAGCAGAAGACAACCTTTTGCAGTCCCTTCCCTGATGGACTATGGGGTCCAAAGCTTCACCCACTCTGCACCCAAGGCAGATGCCTAGTGTGGGGACAGGCACACGAGGGATGCTGTGAGACCCAGTGGCATATCACAGGTACTCAGTGAACATCTGAGACCTCAGGGTAGATGCCTGCCCCCCACCCCAATGTCTGCATTGGAGAGGATACCCTCTATTTGCTTTGCCAGGGCTCTTTAAGAGTGAGGGAGATCGTCTCCATCCCCTGCCTGTCTAGGTCAGAGAAAGGACCACTTGGCTATAGGCAGGAGTTGCCTGTCATGACCTCTAGAGAGTGGGGCAAACTCTGATTGGCAAAAGTCTGAGCCAACAGCCAATACCATTCATGATCAGAGGGGATATGGGGTGTAGGGACTGTGCTTCTCAGAGCTCCTGCAGGCATGTAATTGAGTGATGGCCCTAGCTGCTGTGTCTGAAATCCATCACTACATTTGCTCAGAGGCCACACACACACACACCTCCCCTGGGCTGCTCCCAGCTAGAACACAGCAGGGATGTTGAGGTTGGCACATTCCTGGAAGATCTGGGACTCCTCTGATGGGCAACTTTGGCTCAAAGACTTAGCACCTTACCAAACTTTCTTAGAGCTGTGCTGCAGCCTAAGACTTGCCTCCCTCCCCTCTCTCTCCCTCCCTCCCTTCCCTCTTTCCTTCACATGGGTCAGAACTGCATTGCAGTCTGTCGCTCTCTCCGCCTCCCCAGCCTCCTCCCCATTTCCCCTCACAGCCCTCTCCTTAGTAAATCTCTTATACTTCACATCTCCTCCTGGGAGGACCCAGAGCACACTCTAGAGAAGATGCTGGATGGTAGAGATAAACCTCTTAGACTCCCTGTGTCACGTGCTTCCCTGCACCTGAGTCCAGCTGAAGGGATGTGGTTGAAGGAAGCATGCTCTGGGCTGACAGGAGGAGCCTGGGTACAAGTCTCATCTCTGCGAAGTTCCACAGGACCTAGGCTTTGTCTCCCCGGATCACTGGTAGATCTCCAGTGCCTGGCTTATAGTCTCGGCCCAATTAAATATTTGGGAATGAATAATACTTTTATTATAAGTAATTATTTTCTGTGTTGCTGACTTGTTTATCATCTGTCTCCCCTACCAGGTGACAGCTCCTTGGGGGAGGGCCTTCTGTCTATTTCACCCCTGTATTGTCCCTGTCATGAATCAGCAAGGTCCCTGGCATGCTGGAGATGCTCAGTATATATTTGGCAAATGAGATAATGAATAAAGTAACTGTGTGAAGCCCAGCCAAGCTATTTCTCTTCTGGGAGCCCTGGTTTTCTCACGGAAAATGAGAGATGGACAGGGGCAGACATCCCTGAATAGTTAAGTGCAAGTAGCTAATAATCATTTTGGAAAATGTTGAATTATTAACTAGTCTCATTAATAATCAAGTCAATAATGAGATATCACGTTTTCTCTATCAAAACAGTAAAAAACCTTTTTTTAAAGGAACAGTATTCAATGCTGGTAAAGGTTTCTGGAAAACAATTTTGGGATATGTATCAGGAGTCCTAAAAATATTCAGTCTCTTTGGTCTTGTAATTCCATTTCTAAGAATCTATCCTAAGGAAATAATCATAGTTGTGGGGAAAGATTTATGCACACAGATGTTCCCTGAAGCATTATTTATAACAGTGGGAAATGGAAGCAATTTAAATAATAAATAATATGTGACCAGGGTATTAAAGCACCAGGCAATTTACACACATATTTCTAGTCATCGGATAAGCCTGTGAGTTAGGCATAATGCTTCTATTTTAAAGATGGCACTTGGAGGTTATGTGACTTGCCCAAGGTCACATAGCTTACTCAGTGGCAGCTGGAATTCAAACCCAGGTCTGTCTGACCATACTCCGTCTGCTGCCTCATGCCGCCTCTAAAAACAGGGTACTGGGTAAATGAATTATGACAATTCACATGAAAGGATGTTAGAGAAGCATTCAAATGCTTCCCAGACTATTTAATGATATGACATAAGGTTAAGTGAAATAAGCAAATCATATATAAAGTCATGATCTAAAATATGAAAAAAGCGATACAGATATATACAGACGTGGATGATAAATGAACAAATTACAACAAAATGGTTTTTGTACTCCCCTCTGGGTTGAGAAATTATGAGTGATTCTGAGTTTTTTCTTTAAATTTCTATCTATTCTCTAATGCTCCCAAACTGAGCCTCTATTATATTTATAAATAGATGCAAAGCAATAAACATTGTAAATATGTAAAAAAGAAGAATGCATGTAAGAGATGAGCGTTTGAGGACTTCCTGACCTTCATGGTTCCAGAGAAATTCCTCCCTGAGCCCCATACTCTAAGGGGGAACAGTGGCCTGCATGGGTGTCATGGGGCAGGGTGCCCCACTGGGTGGCACTGACCTTCAGCCAGATAGTTGTGGGGCACTCCTCTGTTCCAACACTGAGCAAAGCCCTTAGGCATAGCCTTTCTCAGTTCCAACTTTCTAGGGGCCTTCTCTGAGGTTTTGGTTTAGGGTTGGAGGGACCGGCTCAGTCACAGTCGTGGAGACTGACATGCGTGGACCCAGGAAATAACCTGGCAGGCAGCGTTGGCTGCAGAGATCAGCTCTGCCCAGCCTGGGTAATTCTAAAGAGTATCAGGCATCCTTCTATCCTTCCCATCAACAGAATTTCTCACTACAGGTCCTGGCGATGGCGGGAACACCACCCTGTGAAATGCATACTAGACACACAGTGAACCAGCAAATTCTGACTTCTAAGCATTCCCACACTGCCGGCTTTCCATCGCAGCTGCCAGTGTTTTGTCTGCTCAGGGGCGTTTCTCTGCGCCAATTTTACTTTTCGCTCTGATAACCAGAAAGCTCAAAACCAAACCTGAAATCATTTCTTTCTCTCTCCTTTCATGTTCCAAAATTCTATTTTAATAAGCGAGACCTCTATTTTCTTAATTTGATTGCTTGTCAAGTATCATCATCAAAATCCCCAAATCCCTTTGAAAAGAGAGTAGGGAATGACTGTTGACTATGACTGAGAAACGGGCACCTTCATCACATCTCCCTGCTCCCTCCTCCCAGTGGTGGCAGAGACATTCTCGGGGTCACATGGCCGGCAAGTGACTGGTGGGTAAGCTCAGGCAAAACTCATGAACATCTGACCGATAGGCTAATGTTTAGGTTTGCTCTGTTTCTTTTTCCTCGCCTTTCTCCCATTTTCCCCAGACATAGATTAATCACAAGTTAACAGGAGGCTGAAAACTGAACAACACTGGATTCTTTTCAGGGTGGATTTTTCTGCCTCTTCCCGCCCTCACTCTGCGGTTACTATCAACGTTGCATCTGTTGGCTAAAACAAATCTTTCAAAGGTAATACATGATCGTGGCTGCTGGAATTTGTCTGTGACAATCCAATTGTGAAGGGGACATGGAAGAGGCCCAGCACACAGACACTCTCTTTCTCAAGGTTATTCTTTATGAAGGGGGATGGTTTGCTTTGTGTGTGCTACAAAGCATTTATAAAGGGAATGAAGCGTTGACGAATCTTATCCGCCACCTCTTCCTTCCCGAGGCCTGTGGACTTGACCTCTTTGAAGCAGCCTCTCCAGAGGGGCACAGAGCAGAGGGGCTGGGGCTGGAGGAGTAGGGTTTTCTTTGGTTGGGGGCTGGGAGTACTTGTCTCCCTAGGAAAGACGGTCACGGCCTTGCAAGCTGGCGTGGTGGGGCCCTGTTGTAAGCTCTTACCACAAAAATAAGAAGCCGGGGAAAATGAGGCTAGGCTTTTGAGAGTCCCATGGTCCATCTCTTGAGAGTTGGATGGAAGCGTCGCTTTCAAAAACCACAAGAGAACATTTACCCCCACTGGGCTGATGAAAGGTGATAGACAGATTGGGAAACTGATACACAGAGAGGTAAAGCAAACATATCAGGACATTTGCTCAGGCAGAGGTAGTTCTGAGGCCGGGACTCAGGCTCCACAGGCCCCACCAGAGCCTGCAGCTGAACTGCTTTGGGATTAGGAGTTATAGAGCTGTCCCTCTGCTTTTCTTGGATCCCAAGAGAAGGCTCCATAATGGGACAAAGTTTCATGGGAAGAGAAGAGTGGCCTGTGTCCACACAGAGGGAGAGAGCTGTTCTCTGTGTCCACGAGAACAAAGCCAGTGCTGTGGGAGAGACAGTTCAGTTAGACCAGAGGCTCTCAACCTCGGGCAATTGTGGCTCCCCCCACGCCACCAAGGAAACATTTTTGGTTGTCAGAACTTGGGGGTGGGGTGTTGCTATTGGCATCTAGGGGGCAGAGGCCAGGGAAATTTCTCAGCATCCTATAACACACAGGACAGCCCCCACCACAAAGAATTATCCAGCCCAAAATGCCAATAGTGGTGAGGTTGAGAATCCCTGAATTAGCCTGAACACAAACTTTATAAATGTTGGGGGCTCAGTTACTGGGGCAGTGTGCCAAGAGAAAGGGGTAAAATATATTTTCAAAACAGGGCAGACATCAGCTCAGGGGCAGAACCACCTGCTCTGTGCCAGGCTCTGTGCAGGGCTGAGGCTGCAGAGATGGACAAGCCAGGCGCTCCTGCCCGCAGGGAGCCCGGGCTGTGACACAGCTCTCTGCCAGGAGGCAGTCATGCAGACACCGAGAAGCCCAGCCTGGGGGGCTGGTTGCCAGGAGCTCTCAGTGCCCTCACTCCTAAGCAGTGCTACTGCCTCCCAGTCCCTGAAACATGACGCGCATTAAAGACAGTAAAGCAAATAATCATCAATATTGGATGGGCTGAGATTAGCGACGGAGAAGAGGGAGTCCTTTTAGATTAATAATGCATCGAGGACTTCTTCAGAGGAAGGATAAATTATGCAGGGCATGGCTGCTCAGGCGCAGGAGGAAAACAATAGCTCTTTAATTTGGGGGTTGGTTGGATCTATGTGGCAGGGACTCACCCTGTATATGACCTCAGCAGCAGCCTTGATTCCTGTACTGGAGAGGGTCCTCCCTCGGCTGCTGTGCAGGGGTGGGGATTCCTAGTGCTGTCCCCCAACCATGGAATAGTCTGAAGTAGCAACCCAGCCCACTGACCCGCCATGCAGAACTCCTGTGTTTAGAGCCTTAGAGCTCTCGCCCTGCCCGCCAGTCCAGATGCCACCTCCTCCAGGAAGCCTTCCCTGACCACCACAGCAGTCTCCAGTGGTCTCAGATCCAGGAACTAAGGACTGAGGACAGATTCTATCTAAGCCATAACAGTCACTAAGATGCCTCTGTATGCAGTGATCAGAGGCTCTTGGGTGATTTGTGGAGAATCAAAAGCTGGAAGTGAAGAGGGGCCGAGGCGAAGTCCTGGCTGTCCCAGAGTCAGGGCTACAGATGGCAGCAGCACCCACTGCTTGGAGCAGCCAGTCCTCCCCTGAGTTGTCCTGTACCCTTTGCCACTCAGATAAGAGGCAGCCACATAAAGGGCTGTGGAGGCGTTTGTCTGGGGGCTGGCAGCTTCATTTATTAGCAGAGGGCAGGGCCCGCTGGTACACGAAGCAGGAAGTGAAGGGAGATGGGAGGAGTGGCTCAGGGCAGCTCTGGTTTCTCTGCTTCCCAGATTTTGGCTCATCTGGAAGCAGGGGTGAGGCTAGCTTCAGCCCAGGTGTCCCCAAGCCCCAAAGGACACAGAGTACAGGAGAAGCTGGCCCCAAGACAAGGCCCTGACAAAGGGCCTGGTCTCTTTCCCCCGTGCTCCTCCACACTAGCCAGGGCCTGCTGGGACAGCCCTCTCCAGGCCCAGCAAGCCACACTGATTTTTAAGGTCCCGTCTAGTACTGGTCTTTTGTGGCTCCTGTTTCTGCCTTGGCAGTCCTGTTTCTGGGCTTGGGGTTGGGGAAGCTCTTGGTTAAATGTGGAGCATGTGGAGGTGAAATATTCTCTAGTACAATGCCTCCAGAGCCTGTGGCATCCCAAACCCGGCCATCCCAGCTCCCCCTTGACTGTGTGGCTCGACCCGACCCCACCCTACCAGGCTCCCTCCTTGTTCCTGGGTGTGGGGTCTCAGGTTAGCCCATTTTCAAAGCTGACAGCCAAGTGTGGTGACAGAGGCAGGTGACCTGCTTCCTGGTCCTGTCTATGTGGCCTGGGTTTTCCCTTCTTTTCACCAAAGTGGTCAGCAAAGATGACTGCGAAGTCCCAGCTCTCTCCTACCGGGATGACTAGGCCGGAGGTGGGGATCTGTGCCCTGAGAAGCCTCCCTCTCCACCAGGGCCCACCCCCACCGTCTCCAGCTTGTACCTGATGGTGTTGCCGGCATCACAGGGGCAGGGCAAGGTACAGCCTGGGCCGTGCAGGCCCTCCGGGCACAGCCGCTCCTGGCAGCGTGGGCCTTTGTAGCCAGGTTCACACTCACAGGCGCCTGTGCTGGGCGCACACTGGCCCCCGTTGTGGCAGTCACAGCGCTGTGAGCATTGGAAGCCAAAGGTCCCGAAGGGGCATTCCTCTTGGCACCTGCGGGACAGCAGAGCAGGGCTGAGGTTGTGCCCCTCACCTGCCCTTCCAGATCTATCCAGCATGCACCCCCCAGCCTCCAGGCCTGGGCCTGGTGTGCTGCAGCCCCTCACGGCCGCCTCCCCTCTTCCTCCTCCAGGAAGTAGTCCATGGTTTAGTCACCCCAGCTTTCCCCTTCATGCCAGGTCCCCTCAATTCCTCAGCACTGAGTTTGTACTGTTATATTTCATTAATTACAGAACTTACGTGTTTTTTCATTTTTTGATTGCAGTAAAATACACATAACATAAAATTTACCATTTTAACCATTTTACAGTGTACAGTTCAGTGGCATTAAGGACGTTCACACTGTTGTGCGACCATCACCACCATCCACCTCCAGAACCTTTTCATCTTCCCAAATTGAAATTTCTGTACCCACTAAACATGAAACCTTATGTTTTAAAAATATATTTCAACATTTCTGAAATCAGTTAAGTCTTATAACTGATGGCATGTCATAGTTTAATTATCAGTGTTTTTCATTCTTAGCAGTATATAAAATAATGACACATCTTACAATTGGTGACAGCTTACATTTGATGAAATGGGGTAATTTTATTTCTATTCACTGTCTCTGTTTTTTTGTTGTTGTTTTTTTGTGAGTCTTTGGGGCAAATGTATAGTCTCCCTTTATCATACTAGAAGGTGTGTCTCCTCCGCCAGTGTGCAATTTCCCTGGGTACAAGAGGCATTCTTTCATCAGACAGGAGGATTCCTCTTCCTTGGACTGGCGATCCCCTCAGGGCCGGGCTAAGCCTCTCCCAACAACTGGTGAGTCCCTCAAAAAGTAGGGCTGTGCCCTCTGCGTCCTTCCTCTGCTCAGGCCTGGTGCTTGGGGCTTACAGCATAACGATAATTATTTGACTTATAGACGCACAGCTGTTGGCTGTGGATTCTCTGTGGGAGGGTGTGACCCCTGCTGTTGACTGCCTGGCTTCCCAGACATATTTCCCAGGGGATGCAAATTCATTGTCACAGCAACTGAATCCTGACACATTAAAGGGGGCCTGTGGGGTAAAAAAGGTGAGTCCTGTGGCCCAGAGACAAGCGGGAATGGCCTCTGGGGTTTTGGATTATCCGTGTCCCAGCATTGCTTCGATGGTGCAGAGCATGGAGAACTGACCCGCACCTCTGGCATCTGCTCCCTCATCATAAATGGGATGATAACAGTGAAACCTCACTGGGTTGTTTGAGGATTAAAGGAGATAATGCGTATAAACATTTAGAAAGGCGTCCCACACACGGTAAGGGCTCAATTAGAATTGTTACTTATTATTTATTACTCTTGTGAATATTGTTTTCTGTAGTTCTCATAACACAGCCCATCTGACCTCCTGCCTCAGATTCTGGAATGAAAAAGCTCTAAGGGAAGAATTCCAAAATGTTGACAATGGAGTGGACTTGAGGAATTCGAAGTGTTTTAATTATCATGTTTTCCCAGTTTTCAGATTTTCTACAATAATTGGGGGGGGGGAGCCATAAAAGATGTTTAAAAAATATACAGCCCTAGGTTCTTTATTAATCTCGGAGAGTCTTGAGTTGGAACCAGTGCTCTCCGCAATCGGGCTGGGAGGCCCTGAGTCTGGGTGACCTCCGTTGCCTGTTGCGAGGGTGAGTGGCCAGACACCAGTGATGTGGTAGCAGCAGCCAGCATGGGCCTGGGGGTGGAGTCGCCAGTGTGTCGGGCGTGAGTCTTGGTAACACCACGTGGGGGTCCTCTGTCTCGCTTCTGTCTTTGTTGCCTTGAGCCTACCCTGACAGGGACCTGAGGAGGGTGATTGGGTCTAGACTTGAGGACTTCCCTCACAGGAAGATGCCACACACTCTCCCCTTCTCAGAGCCACTGTGGCAAAAGGACTCTGGCAGATTGGAGGGGCAGCTGGGGTAATGACAGCTACTTCCACGGGCACTGGACAGAGAAAGGCGCTTCTAGCTGCTCAGGCCCTAGAGCTTGTCCCCAGGCCCCTGAAGCAGCAGATATTCCCATAACCCTTACATTACAGTTGGGGAGGCTGAGATGCAGACAGGCGAGGTGACTCTTCACCACCAGAGCTTTTTCCTGCAAATCTGGCTGTATTGTAGCCAGTCTGAAGCCTCGTGAAAGGAAAGAGAACAGAAAAGAGAGGGAGGAAGAGGAAAGAAAGAAGGGGATGTCTAGAGAAGGAATGGAAGGTGGAAGGCAGGAAGGAGGAGAGGAGGCAGGATAGGGTAGGTAACAAGGGACACTGAGGCAGAAGGGGAGGACGCAGAGCGCTAAAGAGCTAGAAAATCACTACCTGAATCGCTAGTCCCTGTTCAACCTCAGAATGGACTTTTCTAGAAGTCACGGAGCTTGGTTCTCCTCAAATGTCTCAGACAGCAGGGGAAGAAACCCAAGCCAGGAGACGCCTCTTGACCCCTCTTCCCTTTCACTGGAACATTCCTGTTCCCTCCCACCCAGCAGCACAGGGCAGAGCCTGAACAGTGAGCCTCCTCTGAAGGGCATTTTCCCCATCCTGCCATATTTATGAAGCGACTGACTCCATAGCCCCAGAAAAAGAATCTGGAAATGAAATATTGACAACCTAATCCATTTACATAATCAGCCTCTTTTTTTTTTCCTGCTCACAATTTAAATAACTTATTTATTTAGAGATCAAGCAATGACTGCTAATGAATTTTACACAAAGCACGCTAATAACAGGGCCTGTGGAACAGAAGGGTAATCACAGCAGGAATTAGTTTTCTACTTAAACATCCTTCCTTTGCAACATATCAATCTAATGTGTCTGATATTGCCATTAACAACCAGATACATTGCTCAATTAAATTACAAAATGAGCTGCAAAGCCCTCGTTATGTTTCGTGTTTAATTTGCACTGGATTCGGCCTATCTGGGGAGGCCTGCATTATTACACCCACTCAACTTTAATATGCTCGTGATGATTTGGGGTGGGTTAATGCAGCTGTCACCTACAAAATTAATGGAGGCAATTTTACAAAATATTAAATACCAGGCGGCCCGTTTAGGTGAGAAACCCAAATGTTACCTGGCCCCTCTATTGAACTCTTCTCTGTCGTTGATTGGCAAAGCTTGCTAGAGCACTCTATGGCTTTTGGGATTTCTCTCTGCCCCAGGATCATGGGCTGGGCCCCGACAAGAAGAGTGACTAGGATTACTTCTCCATTTGGGACATCCTGGCATTCAATGTCAAGAGTGACAATGAGACAGGGCCTACTGGTGTTGGGTACAGCCATTTGGAGCCCTGGGTCTGCTCGTCTTCAACACTAAGTGGGCTGTATTCTTGCTCATGTGAAAGTGGACTGAAACAAAGTGGTCCTAGTCTGGTTCTAGAGTCTTCCAGCTCCTGTCCCTGCTGGTTCTGAGTGTTTCCTTATTGGGGGAGATGGTGAGGACGGGAAGGTGGGCTCACTGCTTCAGTTCTTTCTCCCCAACGTCTATCTCTGACAGAGTTCAGGGAGGGATGGATCCCCGGACGTCACACCCCATGTTCTGTGCTTGGGAAGCTCATGGAGGTGAACCCTGGCTCACAAAGAGATCAGATCTGGCTTGAAGACTTCAGGCTAGGGGTAAGCAAGCCTACTCTAACAGTGGAAAAGCTCTTTTCAGCGTATCACTAAGGGTTTAGGGCTGACTCCAGTGAGAGTTGGAGGAGCCAGTTATGGTGGTCAGCCGGGACTCATTGGCTGATTCAGCCCCCATCCCTGCTTCCTGATGGCACCTGGGCAAGGAAGGCAGAGGAATGGCGAACAAATATTCTCCTTGCCTCACCTTGTCTGGACAGAGTAAAAAAACCCAGGGTCAGAGATGAAACATGAATCCCCCAGAACCAGGCAAGGGTGTGAGAGCCTCCTCTCCCCTGCCCCGCTCTGCTTTAAGAGATGCCTGTGGGTGAGAGAGCGAGGGAGGTGGCTTAGTCTGGGTCCCACAGGCAAAACAATCCATCTCTGAACTCACTCACCACCAGACACACTGGTCGTTGTTTCTCATTCTCCCACAGCACCTACCCTATCATCATAGCATCCTTCCTACTGTGGCAAATGTGCCCGCACGGTAATTCCTTAATTATGCGTTTTGTGGATTATTCATTCTGCAAGGCTGGTTTGATCGCAGGACATTGGTGTCCTTGTTCAATTTGCTTTCAGGCCATCGGCCTTCAGAGGAAGCAAACTGATGTCATGATCCATTTGGCAGAACCCACAGTAGGAATAAAAATCCCCTTCTAGGAGAAATCGTGCAAATGTGTAAACTGAATTGGCACTCTCAGCTTCTTTGGATTGTGGGTGCCATTGCCTCCCTCCCAAAGGGCAGGAAGTAGAGATGGGTTGTAGGTGCTCACCTGCTTCCCCAAGAAAGTCAACGCAAGTTCAGGGCTCAGCTCACTGGGCTGGGGGAGGGGGCACACTCAGCAAGCCAAGGGTCAGGGAGGATGGGTTGATGCATCTCTCTGGCAGGAGGACTCAGAATACTTTCTGAGTAAGGACTGGGAAAGCTGGCAGGAGAATGCTGTGGGCTGGTAAACGTCAGCTGTTCTCTACAAGGCTGCTGTGAAAATGAGTGATGCGAACAGCAAGGACAATAGTTAGCATCATCCTTACCGGTCCCCCATGTATCCGGCTGTGCAATGGCATTGTCCAGTCACATGGTCACACTGCCCTCCATGGTGGCAGGGACAGTCTTGGCTGCAGTTCTGGCCAAAGGTCCCTGGTGGGCAGGGCTGTGCGCACACAGCTCCCTGAAACAGAGGAGGGGAGACACGAACAAGTGGTGATTCTGAGATGCAATTCTGGAACCACTCTCTCCTGGAAGTGCCCCAGCTACTACGGCCCAAAGGTCCACCCCATTCCCTCAGCGGGACTTTCTCCTCAATCACAGAAGCATAGAAAGCTAGATATCATGGCTCCAAAGCCAGTTTAGAGATGGGGAGACTGAGGCCAATTTTCTCATTCAATTATTCAGCACACATTTATTAAGTGCCTGTTGTACACCAGGCACTGTGTTAGACACCAAGAATATAAAAATACAAGTAAGACTCGATTCCTCCCAGTCTGCTGGGGAGCTAGACAAGAAAACAGGCAACGAAAGGACCAGGCGCTAATTGCTCTCATGCTGGTACACAATACAATGCTGAGGAAAAACAAAGAGGAGACTGTGATTAAACATGGTAGTCTGGAAGCACATTCATCTCCATTTGTTTCCTAAATCCAGCTACCGTGAGAGTAAAGAAGGAAAGCTATAAACCTACAAGGACAAAAGGAATGGGAGAAGAGGCCACAGAAGACAAGAGATGTCACCTGTTAGAAGATGGAAGAGCAGAGGGAGGAACGGAGCTGCTGAGGTTTCTGCTCTCTCAGCAAGGCTAAGCGCCAGCGAAGGGACAGTGGGAAGACATCGGGTTGCTATGGAACCTCAGTAAAGCTCAGGAATCAGAGACACCAGGAGCCTCAGAAGGCCAAGGTGCAGGTGCGGTGAGACAAGAGAACTGTTCGAAAACTTATAAAAGAGGAAATTAGACCCCAGATGTTTGCCATTATTTCAAGTAGCCAGGTGACTTTCCCAAGACTGGCAGTTTCCTTTTAGACAGGTTGACCTCCATAGGCTTTGGACACAGGGATACCAAGCATAGCTGGGGGCGGGGTGCTGAGAGAAAGGGGATGCTGTGGAACCCTGCCTGCTGAATGAGCAGGCCCTCTGGCTCTCCTCCCCCCGCTCTCAGCTCCTAGAATGTTGATTCCCAGATTCTGCTCCCTCTGGTGGGATTCTAGGGGACTCTTTTCCGGGGACACAGAGCTCAAGAGGAAAGACCTACGGATAATGGTATGTGAGGATCCCATCAGCCAACAACCACATCTCCTCCTACTCCCAGGCTTCCAAGCAGATTTTCTGAGGCTTAAGGTAAAACACGAACAGGTGGCCAAGGATCACCAGATATTGGAAATGAGGCTCTAACATGAAAGATTCTAACATGAAGACTTCTAACAAGAAGGCTGTAACATGAAAGGAGACCAAAGCAGACAAATAGACAAAAGGAACAATGCAGGGAGCAAAGAAAACAGGAGAAAAAGCCCCTGTCACAATGAAAGTGAATATCCTTAGGCAATTAGATGAAGATATTTGTATCTGTGAAAGAACAGAGGGCTAAAAAGGGGATATCCAGAGAACAGTAAAAAGTTCTAAAAATGTAAAAATAAGATGACAGAAATTTTTAAAAATTGCAATAGAAGAGCTGGAAGATAAAGGTGAATAAATCTTCTACAAAGTAGGCTGGGGCAGGGATGGGGG